AATCCACAGCACCACCAGACAATTTAATAAACAGCAAGGCTGCACACACAGGACACAGGCAGTGAGCCAGCTTGACTAGTTGTCAGTTTCTGGGTCAGTTCTACCCAGTTCTGCCCAGGCCCCACTGGAGATGAAAACCTGCCCTTCAGAAGCCTTCAAACCCTACCTTTCAAAATCTAATCCTCTTCAACTGAGGTCCGAGTCCAAAAATCTACTGACATCTTAGCCTGCGTTAGGCCAGCTGTCACCTAGCCTTTTTGGCACCAGGGATGGGTTTCATGGAAGACAATTTTTCTGTCCCCAGCGCCAAGGAGGACACACAGCTAATGATAAGGTCGCAACGCCTAGGAGAACCCGTGGCTTATGATAGGGCTCCAGCACCTAGGAGAACATGCGGCTTATGAGAGGGTCCCCGCGCCTAGGAGAACAGGTATTAAATGAATTAGCAAAACCAAAATCCACTGGATCTACCTCTCCAAAGCAAACATACACCACTGCCCAATATTGATGTGAGCCAAAAACATGGAAGTCCTGAGGGCCCACACTGACCACAGCCAGACACCACTTCTGAAAGAACCAAGCACGCACCTAGAGATCACCAGTGATGACCCAGGAGAGCAGCTTTGAGCAGAGACAAAGGTGAAGGAGAGGCATATGGGCCAGGGTGCTGGGTGTGCCCATCTTTGTGACCTCACTGAGATTGCTGACCTCTGGCCCTTGGTGTCCTTCCTGCAGAGGAGGTAGCCCCCAAATCCCTGCCTACCTTCAGCACTGACTGAGGTGGTCCTGAAGTCTCCCCAGGGCTGATACTGCTTCTAAATCCTGTTAGCACACCCACATAAAAAACAAAAAACAAAATATCAAGTATGCAGACAGGAAAAGAAAAATACATGAATCCTCCCTCATTCAACAGGCATTTAAAAAGTAACAGGAAAATTGTGATAGTCTTTAAACAACCACCAGCTATCACGTCCTGTTGAAATGTTTTAGCTAATCAGGAACATCTTTACCAAGCACTTGTGTGTTCAGGAAATCAGTTGACAGGTCCCAAATAACCTTGGAGCCTGCGACCTGACCCCCACTCACGCACATCACCTCTCCAGAGGAACGTGTCCTGGACACCTTTCAAATGGTGAGGAACAGGAACAAGGGTAGCTTTCCCTCAACCCCACAAAACAAGCTCGACCCCGAGGAGCCCGGAGAACAGCGATGTTTGTTTAGATGCTTTCCCACTGTCCTTGTCAGAGCAAACATTCCCATCCCACACCACCCAGTGTTTAACTCTCCCTGGGATACCAGCAGCCGTCAACCCTCAACAAGCTGGAAACACAGGCCAAGCTGACAGGAGACCTCTCTCCATTCCTTACTGAATTCACTCAGGACACGGATGTTCCCAAACACATACGGCCCCGGGTATTCCACACCTGGAGAACATTCAAACAACAGACACTGCAAAGACGTTCCCCTAAAGAGAAACTCAGTTTCTAACTTCCCTTAGGGAAAAATATGAGACCCAGAACTTTCCAGAAAATCAAGTGTGGGAGGAAGCCACTCGCCTCTGGCACTTCCTAAACCTGCCTTCCTGCAGCTGCTCAGGGATGTCCCCGCGACAGCCCCGTCCACCCAGGACGACAGCAGGGCTCAGGCAGCCAGCACTTGGGCAGCTGGCGAAGCAACCCCAGGGTGAAAACGCCATCCCAGGCACCACTTTCTGGAGCCTCTCAGCAAGAGAAACAGAGGCGGGACAGAACCGAGCGCTGACTTGAGGCTGGGGAGTCACAGAACCGCACAGCTCAATCATCGGACATGCTCTTCTGTGGACAGAGCCCAGGGAGAGGCCATCACAGAGACTCTCGTGCCGGCTCCACGGGCCAGCGTCCTCCAGGGCTGCAAGTTTGTGATCACAGCTTCAGAATTTGGTTCCAGAATCTTCAGGAATCAAAGACACACCAAACTGTAAAGCTGCCAGTACAGCAGGGCCCAGGAGCAGGCTCAGGGGAGGAGCAGGTAGAAACCCCAAACACAGCATACACGTGTGTATGCTTACTCCACACATGCCACCGCTTCACCCAATACTATACATGCAAACGCATTTATGCACTCCATACACACCCTCAAATACACTCACCAAATATGATGCGCGTACACACTCCACACACACCCTCAAATACATACGACACACATGAACATGCTCACTCCACCCACACCTAAATACACTCACCACACATGCACAAACGTGACACACATGCACACTCATTCCAGACGTCACACCCCTCACCAAGTACACAGGTGCACACACCCCCAAGTCCAGCACCTGCAGACTCCACAAGCTTTGGTTTCCCCCACTGTTTCTCTCATCACATGAGATCCACACACAGGTGTCATTTACTGACATCTAACACCCGGGGAGGCCCTTAGGCAGAACTGCAGTCACAAGTCGGCTTCATTCAGGCATTCATCACCAGTCTCCTGAAGCCACCTCCTGTCCCCACGGGGAGGGAGGCCGAGACCGGAGACGTCACTGGGCTTACAAATCCCCAGGCTGGCAACCCAGCGAAATCAAGAGGGCTCGGCCACGGCCGTGGAGGGAGATGGGTACTGGGCTCAGGTATGCGGAACATGAGTCCTCATTTCCATACAGTGTCACCTACGACAGCATCAGGTGAAAGCCAGTGGTTTGGCATTCCTGGGATAGACAGTCCTGGAATTACAAGGGAAGATTTTTACTCCTCCCCTCTGAACACATGAGGTCCATGGTCCCCCTCACATCTAACACTGGGAATCCGAATTGGTGACTCCTTGTCCACCTGAGGACCACCCAAGGGGATCCACACATCTGCTACAACAGCAGCACTGCACCTGGTCTGCAGGGGAGCAAAACAAATCCCACCTTTATGACTAAAACTGGATTACCCCGACACTGGCAGCCTGCAGTGTGTATATCGTCAAGCTCCCACATCTGCGCCACCTGCAAGAGGAACACAAGCCCTTAGTCCCAGGTTCTCAGGACGGCCTGTGAGGTGGATGCTGGCACCTTCCCATCTTCCAAGGGAGAGGAGAGAAGGCCAGGGTCAGGGCTTGCATATCAGGAGGGTCGGGGTTCAAACCCCATCTGCCTCACAAAGCAGCCCTTCCCGTTCAAGTGACTTCTATCATCAGCCTTAAAATGTACCAGTTACCAGCAATTCTGAGTGCTGTTCCTTGGGATGTCATAAGCAAACATTTTGTTAGAAAGATTTTGCCAAATCTGCTTTCAAAATCCTATAGTATGAAATGACTAATGAATATTTGAGCTATGAAATAAAGCACATAGTTAAATGAATCCCAAAATGACTATCGCGAAGCAAGTTTTAACTTCAAGTGAAAAATATCCTCTAAATGACATCAGCCAGAATTATCTTCAATCATTACTGATCCCATATGCTTCAGGAATTATACAGTATCATCTCAGATATGAACTTAAAACCATTAGCTGAATGCACATTTCAGCACAACCAAAGTTCTGCTATAATAAGCAGCACAGGCGTCTCTGGAGAGGATTTTAATTGGGACTACCAACAATGTGCACGATCGTGGTAAGAGGTTTCATGCTGGCTGTTCTCCAAGGTGCGACACAGAGAAACACCACTAACCTCGAAGACACCTGTGGCTTTGTAATGAGATGAGAGACAATGTGGACAGACTACTGTAAATATTTGAAAAGGAGAAACAATGCAAGGAAAGAATCGTATCAGTTTCCCTTTACATTCTTAGAAAAAAACGATTTTTCCTTTGGGATGATTTAAAAAGAAAATGACATTTCTGGATTTTTTTTAACTTTTCTTTCTGACACAGGGTCTTGGCTCTGTCGCCAAAATTGGAGTACAGTGGAGCAATAGCAGCTCACTGTAGCCTTAAGTGATCTTCCCACCTCAGCCTCCAGAGTAGAGGGACCACAGGCACGCACCACCACACTCAGCTAATTTTTCTGTTATACAGATGGGGTCTTGCTATGTTGTCCAGGCTGGTCTTCAACCCCTTGGCCTTAAGTGATCCTGCTGCCTTGACTTCCTGAAGATTTAGCCTAAGCGACCATGTCTTATCGGAAAACAGACATTAGAGCAAATGCATTTCTATAAGATTTTCTACCTCTTTTCACGGTGGAAAAAGGTAACTTGCCTCCAAGGGTCGGAGACAAAGCCGTTACTGCAGACAAAAGCGCTGTGCATCCCGGGAACCGCTACACCACGAGGCACGGCCGTGCACCCTGGATGCAGGAGTAACACACGAGGCTAGCACAGGCCGATGCTGGCCCTCTCCAGAAGTAGGCCTATCCTTCCTCCTCTCCTCAGCCCCCTTCTCCCTTCAGGCCTCAGTGGCTGCTGACAGGGGAGAGGTCACAACTAGAGGAGGCTCTCAGCTCCACCAGGGACAGGAGCCCCGGACACTGGAGACTCAACTGCTGCCCTCTGCGCCCACCTCCTTCTGGTCCAGCCTTCTGAGGAGCCAGGCGTGGCCACTTTGACCCTCTTTCCCTTCTGTGGCTCCTACAAAAACCAGTTCAGCGAGCCCAGGCTGCCTCACACTCCAGGGACACCCGGCACAGGCCCCCTCCATGACCTTATCCAAGCTCCTGGGGCCAGAAGGGTCTTACAATATTTCACTTTTCAGTTGAGCATCCCCAGCCTGAAATCCAAAGTGCTCCGAAGAGCATTTCCTTCGAGTGTCATGAGGAAGCTCGGAATGTTTCAGGTTTCGGAGCATTTTGGAGTAGGGACTCTCAGCCTTAATTTGAACCTCTTCAAGGAAGCCACACACTGAAGCCCCCGATGTCCACCCTACACAATCCCAGCACACCCTCTGAAGTCCTCAGTAACAGATTTTCTTTCTTCAAAAATAACCACAAGTCACAAACTCACACGCAATCACAGAAGGGGGTTGTGGACACCCGCACAGATGATGAAATTTAACAGTCACATTTTTACCTGGGTAATTTAAAGTCATTCCTCAAAACACACCTGTTTTACTGAGTTGCATTTTAAGGTGAACACACACAAATCATTTCAGGGAAACAAACGTCACTTTGGGCTGCGTGTGGTTTCTTGACTCCCGTGAATAACTCAGCATTCACCCTCACTTCTGGATAAGGGAGAAGATGCAAAGAAATCTGTTAAAACAAAGACATGAAAACAGGTTTAAGAAGGGTTTGAAAGGTTCCTCCTGTCCCCCTGGAAGGGAGACGAGGACACTTGGAAAGCTCATGGGGGACAGGAGCACAGCCTCCTCGGTGTGTCATGGACGCCGCCTCGCCGAGGGGAGAGGATCATGCCTGGAAGACTCACAGGGGTGGGAGCGCAGCCTCCTCAGTGCTTTCTACACTCAGCAGCTTCAGAAATTCCTGCAGAAGCAGAACACATCATGAGAACTGAGACTGGAACACCTCAAAGAAAGAGGACGAGGGGTCAAAAAAAGCATTCGATCATTACCAAGGAGCGCGGGCATGAAGCCGCTTCAAAGACCGTGTGAGAAGTCACTCATAGGCGTTTCAGAAAATAAGGGTAGCGCGAGATTGCTCCATCAGCTCAAACAGGCTGCCATCCCTCAGGCCATGAAGTCCCTGAGATGAACCTCTCACTGAGCAGAAGTCACTCGCATCTCTGCCAGAGAAAGTCCTACAAGCTGACACATAACCTCATGAAACCTGGGCTTCAGCCGGTCGACAATAGTGAGTCTGACATGGTACATCCCTCCAGATGGTTAAAGACCCCAGGGGTTCATCGGACAACCTCGAAGGGCTGTGTCTGTCCAGCCCCTTTTCCAAGTTCTGGATGATTTTTCCTAATGTACTATAAGCAGTATGTTCCAGTAGAGACGTAATTAACTGATGCGGGGTCCTCTTAATTTTGAAATTAGAAACACACTTGGCCAGGCACGGTGGCTCATGCCTGTGATCTCAGTACTTTGGGAGGCTGAGGCCTCTGGACTGCTTAAGTCCAGGAGTTTGAGTCCAGCCTGGGCAACATTGCAAAACTCCATCTCTACAAAAAATACAAAAATAAGTCAGGCATGGGGACACGTGGAACATGTGCCTGTGGGTCCTGGCTACTCAGGAGACTGAGGCAGGAGGATTGCTTGAGCCTGGGAGGTTGAGGCTGTAGTAAGCTGTGCTCACACCACTGCCTGGGCAACAAAAAGGTTTTTTTCTTTGCCAATCTCAAAAAAACCAAAAAGAATAAGAATTATATACCTGACTAGCCCAAAATAAAAGAGGCCTTGTGGAACAACCTGAAACACAGCTGTAAATTCTGGCAGGGCCTCCCCTGGCTTGATATGTGGTGAGTGTAGGACCGCTCTGAAGGATAGGACCCCAGGCATCTTCTGAGACTAGACCTTACAGTACAACTTCCCTTCACTGGACAGAACACTGGCCTTGGAGCCTGGGACACCCTGGGGCAGTGCCACCATCCCGAGGCCGCCATGGCACAAGCAGGCCCTACCATCATGAAGCCTGGGACGTCCGTCAGAGCAGTGACACCGACCTGAGGCCGCCATGCCAGGGGAGCCTGGACATCATGAAGCCTGGGACATCCTGGGGCAGTGCCACCAACCCGAGGCCACTGTGACACAAGGGGGCCCTGATGCCACTGAGAGGCTGCACAGCAGGTCCAAGCCCAGGCCAGGAGTGAAGAGGCTCCACATCCTTTCCATCCCTCCAGCTGAGTCCACAGATGTCTTGGAGCAGAAATGCATCACCCTCAATGTCCATGGGTGAGTTTTTGGCCACAGAATCTGGAAGCATAAAAGATGGTTCTGGGCTGGTTGGTTGCCGGCTCAGATCTGTCCTCCTTCCACAGAAAACCTGGCTCACACCAAGGAGCGTCTAAGTCCTGGAAGACCTGCTAAACACAAGTGCAGTTACAAAGCGGAGAAACTGGAGGGGGCTGGGCTGTGCTCCAGTGGCACCAGTGTTTCTCAGGAAGACCCTGGGCATGACAGGGTCCAGCACAAGTGCTTCCTGGGATCCAGGACATGGAACAAGGACCCATTTCCCTGTCCTGTTGAATATGAATCGGCTAAGGGCCGATTCCCTCGGAGGACTGAGCACCGCCCAACACCACCTTGGTATAAGTATATTACATACGTTGGTATGGGTATGTTATTATTCATACCAAGGTAATAACAAGCCTGTTACCAGCAGGAGGCTGGTGATGAAGACATGAGGACCAGATGAGCACGAGGGATCCTGACAGATCATCCCTGGCACTGAGCAAGGGGCAGACAGTACCCCCTGTTCCTGACGCATCAGCCCTGGCACTGTGCCCCTGCAGATGCAGAGGGATGTGAGGGGGGCGCAGGCTGGGCTTGGAGGCTAACTCAACCACCTGCGCTTGCACTTCCGTTCCTCATGGCAGGGAGGTGAGGCACAGGCAGCATTAGGGCTCACCTTGCCCCCGGGCTGCACTTTTTTCTGCTTATGAGTCGTGCTCGCTTTACATGGACAGGCATAGCTATAATAACGGTTCCTTGATTATTTCGCTGCCTACATAAAGGGCTTTCAGAATTCACTTCCATCCTTAGGAAAGGGGGCCAACACCAGGCTATCTCCCTTAAGATGCCATGTCTCATATGGGGAAAAAAAATCAAGAGAAATCAAATAAAGGCCTTAAAATACATCAGTTTCAACACTAAAATTTAATAGTATGTTTTAAATTGAAGATGATTTAAGTCACATTTCCAAACTTCTGAAAGCACGGTTACTGGGAGGGAGTGGTTTGCAACACACAAACGCAGCTCTGTAGAAGTGCCCAGGCTGGATGAGGTCTCAAACATCAGTGTAAGGAGAAAGTCTGAACAAACTCTCTCCTGCCCTGCTACTGTCCTCTTCCAAAACACACTGTTTATCTGTCAGTTTAGAACAAGGCCTAGGGAGGTGGGAGGCAGGCCTGGGAGGGTCACCTAGCATCCAAGCTCCTCACCCACACCACTGCACCAGGCTGAGCTGAGCAGTACACACAAACACGACTGATTCTCCCCAAAAAGAAGATGGAAGGCAGCACACTGCCACGCCAGGCGCCCTGCAGACGAGAAGATTCAGGGGAGCCAGAGGTACCATTAATCTTGCTTGCATGGTGGAGGGAGAGGAATAATGCCACTCACTTGAGTGTTGCACAATTCTTTCTAGCACTGAGGGGCAGAAAACAAAAATTATAGATGCTTCCTCAGATAAAGGTTTCTGAAGAACTGAACATAAATTGCGTTCAGGAAATAGCATTATGAATGCCTCAAGTGCTTCAGTTTTCAATAATCTCAGAGTAATTCTATAAACCTGGGAATGTCTCACCCAACTCCAGGATCACAGCCCAGGTGACGTGGGCACACACATCCTGAAGCTCCAATGCTCAACTAAAGTGGGGCGAGTGAAAATGATCCTGGGTATAATTTACACGGACACAGGAAGGTGGCTGAGCCCCAAACCCCTAAACCAGGAAGCCCAGCGTCCTCCAGGGGCCTCACCTCTGTCCTTTCCCAGCCTCTGGGAACCACCACTCTGCTCTCTACTGCCACAAATGCCCCTCCAAGGTACAACACCAGGAAGATCATCATTCAAAACTGAGGAACGTGGCAGAACAAAGCTGTCAGGAGATTTTAATCACCAACACCACTTGTTACATGACCCAAAGATGATTAAAATCCCAGGCCCTTCAAGACTGAATGTTATCTATACTTAAATGCATTTCATCACCATATTGGGGGGTTATTCCTTTGTTTTGCTGCAAATATATCCAACTGCTGTAAAAGGAAAAGGCAATTTGTTAACGAAGCTTCTTGGAGTGTCTCAACAGGCCTCGAGGCAGGATAAAAGGCAGGACTTCCTGGCAGAAACGCTCAGCTCTGAGGTCAGGTGGAGTTCTTGAGCGCCAACCAAGGCAAAATAAGGTCGAAGACCACACCACACTTTCCTCAATCACATCTTCATTCCACCTTTCCTTCTATTTCTCACGACTTCGCTGGGAGAAACTGTGCTGAAAGAAAATGGAAGCACACACATACATAGGAGACCCTACAGATGCTGAGAATGGGTGCAGCCATCACAGTCTGAATGTCCTTTCAGGGCCATCTGACCTGGCTGGGATCCAAGTATCCAAGTGCAGGATTGTATGTCAGACCCGTGAAGCCAGGATTAAAGTCACTGAACGGCAGTTTTCCATCCCACGGAAACCGGCCTTGCTAGGGGCTTCCCCGGGGACCACCGACCTCACGCCACCACCCCTCAACTACTTCAACTAACCTACATCATGGCAGAGGCCTCTCCAGGCAGACCAGCCCTGCCCAAGTCCTGCTTCATGGCAAACCCTCCAGACAAACGTCCTTGGCCTCCTCCGGGAGGCTGTGCTCGGAAGGTGCCCTCATTTACTTCTGTGGCTCTGAGACATTTAACTAGAGCCCAACACACTTCTTCCTGTTCACATAGTATTGAGTTAACAGATTTTTATGAGTAAACTTTCACTGGGAAAAATACCATTTCAGGAGCCCCAGTGACCACAGTGAAAATGTTTTTACCTCCCCTTACGTGACATCGGCAACGCCAGGTCCAGGAAACGTTCTGGATCTCAGATAATGGCATATCCACTCATAGTAAGTCTTGTTCTTGTTTCACAAGCTATCAAATGCTGCCCAGAAGCAGGAAAAACCCCACAACGTGGCAGGGAGGGGCGACCGGCATGAGTTCTAAGGCCAGACCACCCGGGTCTGCTGACAGCATGGTGAGGGGCAAACAGTGTAGGGTCTAAGGCCAGACCACCCGGGTCCCGCTGACAGTGTGGCTTCAGGAGTTTCCTAAACCCTCTGTTCTCCAAGTTTCATGTCAGAAAAATGCAGTGATAACCGTGTCCACCTCTTTTAAATACATATATATATATATATATATATATACACACGCACATATATATACTCCAAACCTACAGCCCTAAAAATGTCATTAATCCTAGTTATCCTCAAGGCATTGAGCGATCAATAATGAGCCATCCCCCTGCTGCTGACCTGCCTCAGCCCCACCCTCCGGAAACCCCGCATCCACACCAGCCACACAGGATGAGGCCAGGGAAGGAGCAGGACTGTGTCTTGGAAACTTAAACTCTGGAAGCTGCGTTAAATCAGTGCCCCTCAAATCTTGTCACCAACTATCTTGTTAAATTGGGAGATTCCATCTCTGGGGATCTTGAAGGAACCTGAGGCTCTACATTGAGTGAGGTGAGCACTCGTGCTGCAATGAGACGGCAGGGAAAGCAACCGAATCTGGGGTCGCAGCTGCCTGAGGCTTGGGTCCCACCGGGAAAGTGGCATCAGGGCCCTCAGGACAGCGGCGGAGGTCCCAGGAGGCAAGTCCCGGCACAGAGACTCATGGACCCTAAGATTACTCCAGGGCCAGGAGGGGCTGCTGCACTGACAGCCATGAGGCAGACAGCCTTCGAGCTCCTCCAGCTGCCATCCTGCAGGCAGGGAGGACAGTGCCCAGACCACCCCGGGGCTTCCCCAGCCTGCCAGGCTGGTACTCTTACTCCAGCCACTGACAAGAGTCCACATGTTCCAAGCTAGGTTGAAACAGTGCCTCAGGCCTCGGGGCACATGCACCCCCCTGCAGGGCCACCCCTACCCAACACCTGGGGATGGCTATTCCCACACATCCCCAACTCACAGCAAAACTTAAAAATAAACTTAAAAATAAACTTAAAAATAAAAATGAAAGTCGGAAGATACAGCCAGGAAACCAATGCTCAAGAAGCAACTCCACGGTGACTCTTCCTAGAGCTATTGCTACTGAACGTCTTTAAAAACATTTCCAGGGTGACTTCCTAGAGC